TAGGACCTGAGAGTGGTCTATAGGCAGTTTATTTTTCTACCGGTTTGTGCTATTTGTTTTAGATCACACTGTTTTTCTTGTGATGGAATCACAGACCTACATGCATGTATAAAAACTAGAGTGCTGACTCACGTACGAAGTGATTCCTGCTGGGCGCATCCATATTTGTGCACGAACCTATGGAAAACTGGAAATTTTGTACGGCTTTTGTATGGCTATTTGCATATCGGCATCTGTATTCTTAAATGAGACGTCAACAAAGCCGATATGCCAAAAAACTCACAATCAGTAAATGAGCGTTTCATGTTGCTCTGCGTAAACAACGCAAGCGCGTGCGCATATACATGTACACTGCAGACAGTTTTGCTGTGCCTTATAAAATCGGAGTTCAGCAGTACCCAATGCACATTGCATTTAGAATACATAATTCGATATTCACTCGATCTGATTTTGAATGTTCTACAAACATGTACAAGCACTCAAAATGTCTGCGCCCAGGACGGCGTCAAATTTTCTCTGCACAGAGGATGAGAAGTTAGTGCTTTAGTAATTTGATACAGCTCTATGGATGGAATACATGTACTTAACCCTAACAATCCCCAACCTACCAAACTCCAACACCAGGGTTTGTTGGAATCTGTTAGGATGAGTACTGCTCTGGTATACTGCCTGTGCTTTATGTGGGATTAGGCATACCACAAATAAACAGAGTCCAACTGTTTATTTGCAAAGTTTACTACATGCATATGGTATTGAGATTTGTAAGGATGAGGAAGGTTGCTCGTAAATCACCCCAGGGACTTGGGGTGCATGCATATCGATGTCTGCAAGGAGTTATCCCAGGGATTTACAATGTCCAAATGACCATCTTCTTTTTGACAGGATGTTGTGAATGGTAACCAGAAGTTGAACATGGCTTTTGTTGCCAATCTGTTCAACACTTACCCCGCCCTAGAGGCTCCCGATGAAGAACTGGAGGAATTTGAAGAGACTCGTGAAGAGAAGAGTGAGTAGGAGCGTGTTCTCTCAATCTCGTCAAGTTTTAAGCATTCGGCACCTAGCACCAGACTCATAGTTTAAACCCTTATTCGCACTGATCCAACAAATTTTACCAAGAAGTTTCAAGGATTCTGAAAGATTGAGGAGGAGCTCAGTTATTGTTCCATGTACACGTAGCTAAGTGCTTCTCTAAGGTTGAAGTATCAAGAATATGATCCAGGAGGTCTACAGCCAATTTCATGGAACTTTACGCAGTGGCGTAACTCTACTTATGCCACATTTTAATGTGTAATAGTGCAACAAATTAAGACCGATTTCACGAAGCTTACGCACTGCATAAGTCTGCAGCTTACGCAACAAATTATGGCGTAACTTACGCAGTCAATTTAGGTGGCATAAGTTACGCCAAACTAAGCGAAAATGAATGATTTGACTTGCTTATCGGGACCAGTTATGCCTCGTCATTGTTGAACTTCTTAAGGATTATAGGAGAAACAAACAACGTTGCTCCAGAAGGTAATTATAAACTTGTTTGGCTGTGAGAAAACTGCAAAACTTTTGTCCGGTTCTGAGGAAGAAAAGATGAAAACCTTTTCCAAATGGCGGGCCGATGTGATTCAACGACTGTTTGATGACTGCTGTTATATTGGAAAAGAACAGCTGTCGTAAAAGCTGCTTTTGTCCTCGTCCAAGAAATTTAATATTATTAAAATGTGGCACAAGTTTTCGTGAACTCGACTGTAAGCATATTGCGCAGCTACCACATAAATTTGTGGCGCAAGGCTTACGCTTGGTTCAAAGTTACGCCACGTTTTGTGAAATCGGCTGCAGGTGTCAGTTCCAGGTTCAAAAGGCAAAGAACATCTTAATGTTTAACATCACTTTCACAACCTAAATTGTGTCTGCTTGCAGGTAAGTGCTTACACCAAGTCTGGACATGAACTTGTTCATCCACTAATAACCTGCTCATCCACTGATAAAATATTAAGATAATGCCCTAGAAATACTATGCAACAGGTGGTGGTCATGGTGTACAGACCGGTTTGGCCATGTCACACAGCCTTGATTGACGACCAGCAGTGCCCTCTTTTTGCTGCGGTAAAAGCTGGAAGATCTCATCATTTAAGTGGGGAAAATCAGTAAGGTGTGTCCAATGTTGGACAGACCAATGCATCCTGGCAACATGTACATCTGTGATACAAGTCCTTAGGCTGGGGCCTACATGTTCTGTACAACTTTACAAACGTGACTACAGAGGGTTTGCATGGTGCCATGTTGCAGTCAAGCAAACATCTTGTTTCACAGGGTATGCACAAAGAAGGTTTCTTTGTGGAACTAAACATGGCTACCACGCAATGCCTCTGTTATATTTCCTTTGCTTCACAGCTTTCCGGAATTGGATGAACAGTCTGGGTGTGAGTCCCCATGTCAACCGATTGTTTACTGATCTCTGCAATGGACTGATCTTACTGCAGGCAAGTTGAATCTCTATGTCCACTCAAATATCAAACTTTGGATCTAACCATTTGTTCATGACAATAACAACAGCCACACTCTGACTGTCATCAGTCCTTCCTAGACGGATGAGACCCTTCACAACACTTGATGATCCCCCACTTGATGATCATTACACATCTTAAAGTTCTACCCAGCTCAAACGAATTAGGTATACCTACATTTTGGTTCATGCGCTGGTCCTCACGCTAATGACCTTTGACACACGATTGTGGGCATAACATATTCATTTCTGTACTCTACACACTCCAAGAATCGCCAAGACAATAACAGCTATCTGAGGTAAGGAAAGAGAGTGGTTTCTTAGCTGTCATTACATGATAAAATCTTCAGCTCTTCTCTTTTAGAACATTGCTAATCTTAATTTGTTCAGCTGACTGACAACAACAAATACAGAAACCAAGGTTTGATGACATGGTTAAGAGTTAGCTTGCATGCATACCGTACATACATTAATTTCCACTCCTACTTTAATTGTTACTCATTCAAACATTTTAAACCCTATCAAATAGGCTCACTAAAAGAGCTGGGAGGGATCTTCCCTCCCCTAGCTGTGAGATGGGACCAAAATAATCTGGCTCTCTGAGAGTTAATCTTTCTACAGCTGTAACATGACTGTACTGTAGATGAAGTTACAGTTGGAAGCAGATGCCAGTAACTTTGATAACTTTGATCCTAGTTCGTAACATTTGTTGCTGTTGTTAATCAGCTCATTGAGATCGTCAAAGGAGACCCCAACTTTGTCGACCCTAAACGGGTCAACAAAATGGACAAGCTGAACAAGCCTGGCGGGAACATGAAGAAAGTGGAGAACTGCAACTATGCCGTGGACCTGTGCAAAGGAATGAAATTCTCTTTGGTGGGAATCGGTGGGAATGACATCTACGACGGTAATGACAAGCTGACATTGGCTGTCGTCTGGCAGCTCATGAGAGCATACACCCTACGACTTCTGTCCAAGGTGGGAAGCGTCGATGGCAAGATATCTGACAAAGCTGTTGTGGATGCTGTCAATAACAAGGTATTGTACTCTCAACAAGACCGATGTAGTAAGGGCCACTATCTCCAAATGGTGCCAATTTGTCATGACAACATTTGTCAATTTTGTGGCCCCATCCCCCAAATCCCTCCCCCCTTTGAAAATTTTGGTTCTGGATCTGCCCTTGACTATTATGTGCAGTCAAGGCTTAAACTTCCTTTTGTGGATACAATCAACACTAAGGAACGCACATTATCTGATGAAACAGTTTCAGAGGGTTTCTTTTTCAGACTGAAGTATATCACCCTTTTAAAACTTTGTAAATACACTAAACTTTAGTTATTTCAAGCACAGAGAGTCCTAAAAATATAAGAATTGTAACAGTAAAATTTTTTAAGTGTAATCATTGTATAAAGCACTGTGAAACTGTGCTCTTTGAGGTAGGCTGTTAGTCGCACACAGTATATTATACATGTATTTACCTTGAGCAGAAGCACCCCCTCATCGGTTGAAAAGAGCCATGCTGGTGGGGAGTGTTCATTTTGTTGGTAGCAATGCGACCATGATGCGTGCATTTCCTAGTCGTTTGTAAACCGGCGAAATTCAGTTCCAACCAAAGGAGCCTCTGTTGCAAAGAAAATAGCGCCCTCTCTTGGCCTAGCTTGAGGCCCATAGGCTGTTATTGTAATGCTGATAATTGTGGTGGATGCTTTCAAGATTAAGGTATTGCGTCATTTATCAGTTGTGTTGAGCATGTTTTATTTCACTGCTTACCAGCTGGAGGCTGCAGGCAAGACTAGTCGTATCACCGGCTTCCAAGACCAATCCATTGCTGATAGCCGTGTTGTGCTGGAGTTGGTGGATGCTATCCGTGACAAGTCTGTCAACTGGGCCAACTACAATGAGTCTGCTAGCTCAGACGAGGTTCGTAGGCAATGTTGTAGGCGAGATCTTTTCACAAGAATAGGACCTCCAGTCTGAATTCAAGTTGTAAATTATTCAAATGAACTGCAACAAAAGCATTCCTGTCATTACTCACTCTGTTACTTGAGACTAGTCTTTTTTCTGGTCTTGTGTCTGGTCTTGTGTCTAGTCTTGTGTCTGGTCTTGTGTCTAGTCTTGTGTCTGGTCTTGTGACTGGTCTTGGGTCTAGTCTTGTGTCTGGTCTTGTGTCTAGTCTTGTGTCTGGTCTTGTGTCTAGTCTTGTGTTTGGTCTTGTGTCTGGTGTTGACTACAACAGTGTTCCATACACCAGCCATATTTGAGGGCACATTTGAAAATCTAATGGAGGTTTTACGTCAGTGCACCCATCAGCGAGTGTACCCATCAGTGAATACACCCATCAGTGAGTGTACCCATCAGTGAATACACCCATCAGTGAGGGCACCCATCAGTGAGTGCACCCATCAGTGAGTGCAACCTAAGTGAGTGAAATTTTGGTTTTGTTTGCATTTTGCAGGAGATGCTAGGCAATGCCAAATATGCCCTCTCCATGGCCCGTAAGATTGGTGCAGCGGTCTATGCTCTCCCAGAAGATATCGTGGAAGTCAAGCCGAAGATGGTCATGACCGTCTTCGCCTGTCTCATTGCTGTTGCCAAGGCAGAGGAAGAAAGGGAGGACAAGTAGGTCAAAAGTTAAAGGTCACCCAGTCTTCAGGGGAGAAAGGACTAACCATGACCCAATAATGAATCCTACTAAACCTCAAAATCTGTGCTTTAATTTTTTACAAATAAATTTTGCTATCACGTGTACAGAATTTTTAGACTCTGGCCATCTGCAGAGGCACTATCAAGAATTGAGCTGGTTATATGCATGCATTCCGAGTTTAACTTCTGTTTATCATACTCAATGATTTGAAAATTGAGAAATTCATTAAACCCTTATTGGGTACTCACCTTGAGAAGACGCCTCATGCCTTGGTGAATAGGCACAATTTCTTGTAGTGAACAGCGACACATTCCAAGAAACCATCTCGGAATCCTTCCATGTGGAGTTTTGCTGCTTGGTGTTGCATTTTCAAGTAACTTCAATATGGAAGGTGTTAGAACATTCTGCTTGCTAGCAAAATATTGTATCCAAATAGCAAGGTTTTAAAAAGCGCTAAGCATTCCTTCCAAAGCTTACCAAGTTTTGCCTCCATTTAATCAGAGTGTGGGGCTCTTGCTAGAATCCACTTCAACAGGCAAGCATTGTTTGTACATTACTTAAATCAAACTAACGTTCTGCATGTATATTAACATAAAGCAATCAAAATTGGAGTTGATTTATCTACCTAGCCACACCCTGAAAAGTTTGAAAGTAAAAAAAGAAATGGCTGGAGAATTAATGATCTTGGGCATTTTGGGAACAGACATATTGCCTGTTTCTGAACAGTACAAGCATGCTTATAAAATAAGCCATTCTTGGCATGAGCAAATACCAATTTTCAGGCTAAAGATCTAGAGTATTTCAGCATGTTTTAGTACATAATTACTTTTGTATTACTTTGTGAATAGGAAACCTGTACCTTTGGCTTTCAAAGCAAAATATTTGGGTAATTTTTCCAACTCTAATGGTTGTTTTGATTAATAAATCCTGTTTGGGATATGTTTCTGTTGAATTTTTTTTTATAGTGGTCATTTATACTGACTAGTAGGTGCGGTTGAGGGATTGTCTGAAAAAATATCGTGGCACTTATTTACTGTTAGTGTAGAAAAAATAGTTGTAAAAGCAAGTTATTGTAAGCACTTATGCACTGCTTTAATCTCTAGGGTTTTTTTACCATATACTTTTGTTTTAAATCTAAACTTTTTTGCTTTGAAATGAAGAAGGAAAAAGGCTCTATTTTACCAAATGAATGAGTTTTTATAGGCTTTGAGACGATATGTTATAAAACAAAATCAATTTGCAAATGATAGTGCATAAACATGGCAACATTTTCTTGGCCAAGGAATAACAAAATGTAAAAAGATATTATAAATACATGTAAGTCAGTAGGTTAAGAAATCTGTAGTAGATATTGGGAACTTTCATTTTAAGAGAAAGCAAAAGTAAGCGTTTTCTTGAGTTTTAATAGATCGCAGAATATCTGCCGAAGGGGAATTGTTGCTTTTTCAGTTAGCATGGATTAATTCTTTTCTATTTTGACTGACATTGTTATGCAATGCAAACATCTCTATTTTTGGTAATGACTATTAAATCTTGATGACGGTCTCAACCATTCCGTGTCCAAAATATTACTTTGTTATCAGACCATTGGTGTATTTTTCCTATCATTCCTTTTGGCTCTCGTGCATTTCCAGTTAATCATAAATCGTTGACAATGAACAGATTTCCTAAATACAACTAAGTTAAGTTGTATGCCTGACACAAACACTTTCCTAGACTCTAAAGTCCTTGTAGCTTTGAGGATTGCCTGACCATCTTCAGCACGATTTACTTTCAGGAATTCGGGGATTTATTCTCTCCATCGGCTTCGTCTTTTTCTTATTCTGTGCTGCTACACAATCAAAGTTGCTTATGGTGGTGAAATTGAATTGCTTTGATATAATTTACTTTGAATTGAAGCTTTTGATTTGAAAAATGCAATCCATTGTAAGTGTTATTTCTTTGTGGAATGCGTCTATTTTCTGTGATGTATATTTGAATTTCTGCATTAGCCTCCTAGATTTCATTAGTAATGCCTGTGATTTAGGAAATTTCTTTTTGCACAATGAAGTAAGTAGATATTTGCATATGAATACTTCGGTACTACTGCTTGATTGGTTGCTGTAAAGTCCTTTTTTAACTGATCGTTTATTATGTACTAACCCCAGACTTGATTTCTTTCTTTCTGACTGCTGCTGTGTTTAGAAATGTTATCCATATATACCTTGCTTATTACAGAGCATTGAAGGTACGAAATCCTGTCTGTTTGAAAGAATAAGACAGTACCTTAAGCTATTTGTATAATTTTGCTAAAAGTGAAAGCTACAGATGTTAGAATAAATAGGTATAACCATCTTTATTTTCAGTTAAACAGAAAGTGCCTTTTAATTAATTGGCGGTTAACAAAGTCCTGACATCTGTACGTTCTTAAGACGTGTACCATTGCCAGTGAATTCGTTAAATGGTTTGCCGTACATCATTCAGGAAGTAGCCATAAAATATGTAATGTTGGGATCGCATTATACAAGTACATGTTTTACTCAAGATAAGTTTACTGAGTCAAGGAAATGTGAAGCATAGAGGCTGCTTTGATTTATGCATTTACTCTATGCCGATTGCATTTCCCACGGTAATAATATTGTAGAACTATTCACCAGCAATATGTAATATAGATTTAAAAATATCTGCGTAGGCCTGTTTTCCTAGTAAGTATTTTAGTTCATATCCACTGTATTTGTCGAAACCATTGTACTGGCAAATTTGTCAGTGTGCTGGGTGCTCGCTGGTACTCCACATATCCCTATTTCATCTTAGACTGCTGGCGGAGGTTAAGTGTGCCTCATGGAGCAGTAATTTGACAACCAGAATTAGACCTCACTACTGCAGTGGCACAGCACTGGTGGACAGGAGGCGCACGTTACAGGCCTCTTCGACCAATAGGGTGTCGAGCTTTGCCAAATACACGCTCGCGTCAAGCTGAAGAGTGCGCGTGTGAGTACGGTGCATGCTACTGCAGTTCTGGCTTCTAATTTAATTAGGTTATTAGGTACCGAAGGGTCACGGTGACTGGCGTCACTATGCATTCTTCTGTTTTGCCTGAAGTTACCTGGAATTGTGTTATAAGAGCTCTGTTCTTAGGTTCTGCCACAGAATCTGTGTCGTGGTATGAGGGAGTTGTAACTTGCACGGGAGGCGATCACTGTGCTTGACCGTCCATAGCAAACTGTTGCTTGATCAAAAACACCACTTGAAGATATGTCACGTCTAAACTTTGCATGTTGCTTTCAGTGGGAATAAACCTCGCAACCATTTACTCGTATTCTTGTTAGTGTTGTTAGTGTGTCGTGGATTTGTTCTTTGATCGGTGTTCTTGGGATGGAGGCTCTTCATGCAAATTTGCCGAAATTGTGTTTTTGCCATTGTCTCTGACCTTGTTGATTTACCAAAATCAGTAACGCGCAGAGGTCGTGAGTTTCCACCTGGGGTCCAATGGCCACATGATGACTGTGTTAAATTCTGAAACGGTTACAGAGAGAGAAACGCTCTCCTTGACGTGACTTTGAAGGCCAACAGGAAGCCTTGCATAGTGTACTCGATACTTGGTGGCGCTTTCAAATGTAGTAGTTGCCGGTAGCGAAGTGTTTTACACAACAGACAAACTCGACTTGAATAAAGGCTGTAATAGTCTCGGTTCTGGAGGATATTTCAAAGGGACGTTTCCCATGGGAAAAAGGTATTTGTTGTCGGTCTCGCGAGAAGTTAAGACTTCACGCCACAGTCGCGCACCTTCTCTTTCTGAATAACCTCTGATACGCTTCAGTTTAGGCATGCGTAGTTTGAATACCGAGCTGGCCCACTGCCAGTGTTAAATGTCCCATACAGTTTTTTCCCGCTGCAAATAAAAAAAATGTAACTCCTGGAAACTGGTATTTATTAATACACGTGCTTTTATATTGTCCACTATATTGGGATGTACTCATGGTGATGCAAATTTATCAGCAATCTATGTTTCCAAAGTAATGACTAAGGAATGTATGTAAAAAGAGATCATTGAAAAAGCATAAAAATATACTCAAAAGATGCATGAAATAATCATGGAAGCATGAAGATAACAGGCAAAATACTGCACAAATTTTGTAACCAAAGAACAACTGAAATTAATTTTGAATTTTTCTAGAATTACCTTGGACACAATACATTTGTCAAAGATGACTCGTTTCGAAATCTGGACTTTCACAAATCGCGTTGAAACAAGCCTTGTGTAATAACTCCATGTGAAACAGACTTCATGTACATTTTACTACAGGTGACGTCATGTTAAACTATTTCAACCTCACTGACGTCGATTCAAAATGGCAAAACGACTATTATCATGTCCTGTGTCTTGTCTACAAAATGTCCTTAATTTTTGTGGTATAGAAAACAAGTGGGCTTTAATATTAAAGCTACAATCCATTGATACATTGTTTGTCAAATGACAGTTTCCTGCAAATCTTAACTTTGTACAGAATTGCGTCGTTACCGTAGGTTTCAAAGTTAATTTTTAGGAGAGACATGCTCGATTCTGTTTTCTTCACGGATGATATAAGAATGAGTGTCTCAAATACATGTATAATTCAACCGATAAATGTACCATAAAATAAATAGCAAATATTGTACAAGTAGGTCTATTATTGGTGAATACTTTGTTCATTTTAACATTCTTTATAAAATCTATAGAGTGATAAACATGCAAAAAATGAACAAATAATATACAATATTTCAATTACAAACCACTGTTCAGTCGTGTTTCTCGGCAGCACCCTTCAGATTGTACAAATTTTAAACGTTTATTCGTATTTTCTAGCATCTATATCTCACCTATATTATGGGGTATTATTTAGAGTGACTGACCAGTGCGAATCCCCGGATGTGTTGTGTAAACTAGCTTTGTTGTAGGTCCTCATAAACATCATATGGGTGTCTGGTATTGTTCCAATGATATAATGTTTCCCTAGAAGGACTCACTAACCAGATACATGTAATCAAATGTAATTTCTTGTTATCTTTTAATACCTTCAATACTACATTTAGTACCTTTTAGACGAATTATAACAGCTAGAAGAAAACCAAATACTGTAGAGTATGTGTCGGACAAATCTACTTCCAGGTTCTATTTCTGTTGTTTTTCCCCTAAAAGGCCTATTGTCAGTTAGTAAATAACGACAGACCTAACATGATGAAACGGTATTGACTTTTTGTACCGTATGTGTCGAAATGGCCGGAAACTAAGACATAAATTTCTTATTAGAACCTGCATCAAGGCATTCATGAAGTAACACGTTTAACGCACAAACAGTTTGAATTCTACACATCCAGTTGGAGTGAATGACTACCAAAGGAAAACACTCAGATTCAGCTAGAGGATTTGTCAAAATAACCAGAATAAATTATTTTTTTTAAAAATAAATCTAAAATATGCCAAACAGCATTTGAACGGAAAACCCTGGACATTTTACTCTGCGTTTAAAGTCTTGGTATAATATATACTTCCCTTAATAAAACCATGTAAGGCGGCTTTCACCAATAGGCCCCAATAGTATTCAACACAGGCACAGACCGTTGAGATTAAACTACACGAATGAAGCAATTTCTACTTTATAACGAATAGATGATATTTCTGGTATATTTCACGACATCTTATTTTTTTATTTTACAACACTATACGTCATAGATTTTTTATACAATGACACGTAAAGAGGAGTCAAGCTGGTTTTCAATTAGCGTACAGGATTTGGAGCTTAAACAAATGTCCTTTTCATACACTCACACAAATAGAGGGGCACATTTACTGTAGGCCTAATTTTATACATCCGAGAGTAATATTTTTAAACACCAACTACACATGCATTGAATAACAACACTGTATAATACGAATTGTACAGTAAAGCCACGTTCAACGACGTTTCAATATCTTTTTTTTCAGTGTAATATTTATTTCATTGAAAATAAAGGCCACCACATTGTATTAGGAATAACATCGAATTTTTAACTTGCAAAAAGTATGCAAATTCTGCGTTATTGTAATACATTCTACCGGAACAGCTACTTTGTACTATTTTATACAGTCAACAATATCACTTAGATACTACTAGTCGCGGAAACAGTAATGCTTAATTTTTCTTTATTTAATACATATATATTATCTGCCAATTTGAACTTGTACAGAAAAAAAGTACACTGTGCCCTCCATCTTGACGAACTTTGCCCTGTGGATGTCACCTCATGCTGTAACCTCTTTATGTGACCTTTCAGTTATATTCTCCACTATCAACGGTTACGCTATTGGGATACCGGGCTCCAATCTCAGCCTCGTAACCAAGAATCAATCCTTTCTTGAAAGGTTGTCATGCGTAAACATTTTCAGAACTCCACTACTGCCACAACGAAAAACAAAACCAGCTACTAGTCAAACCTTTCATTTAGGTATACACCTTTGGGCGGACTTCGTCTGCAATAATCGTGCAACAGGTAAAGCTAAATGGTATCACAACGTTTGTAAGGCAGCTGAAAGTAATCCGAACCGGTGTGCTACACTGCAGGGTAATTCATTTTATGAAGTTATTTATCTAATCTAAAGGGAACCAGCCTTTGACGAGAACCAATAGGATCATCACAAAGTTCGTGTTAAAAGTTCTACAGACCCACCGTGACTATGCACTACGCTCAGACAGTCAAAGAACTGATAAAAAAAAACGTGGAGTTGTGGGTTTTTAAAATTCATTGGAGCGATGGCAAAATCAATCCAATAAAGGGATATTTCACATGTTTCCTGTCTAAATCCTAGCCCCCTTATACTATCATATCTGGTTGTACCTATCTAACAGTCTACGCCTCTTCTCCTGCCTTCTCTTCTCCCTTCTCTTCTTCGTCGGCGGCAGGGATGTCTTCATCATCTGCCGTGACTGGTGCAGCAACGTTGTTTTCAACTGGTGCATCTCCTGCGGCTTCTTCCGTTTTACCTGTTGAAACAATGGACAAAACGGTATGGCTCTTTAGGATAGCTGTCGAACCTGATACTAAGACGGCACGCTCACATACTAGGACAATGACATTTTACAGAGGTAGTCTCGTTAGCTTTTGTCAGTCGCTTCAACATTTCTTGTGGCTGACCTGAAAACTGAAGGAAACCGCAAGACACTTTGCCTGGTCCGAAACCTTAGGCCTATTACATGCATCCTCCATCATGACACAAACCTTCCTCTTGCTTCGGCTCGGCGTTTTCGTCTGTCTTCTCCTCCTTTGGCGTTTCATTCTCTTCCTTCTTCTCTGGTTCCTTCGGAGCTGTAGTCTTCTTCCAGTACTGAAAAATGTTGGTAAAAAAGGCCGACAATGATTTGCTCCTGTATTTCCATGCATGTCTAGCAAGTTTAAAAATCGTTGAGCACCGAAAAAACAACAACAACGGGGAAGCAGGGCTGAAGAGTTTGAAGCGCGACAGTAATTGGTAAGCACGATCCACATAAACAAAACACTCAATGGCAAGCCACAAAAGCAGTTAACTAACCGGCAAAATAGCTATTCATTTACTAATCTAGTTAAACATCAACTGGCAAATCAGGTACTGATCATAGAGTCAGCAAGTTTACGTTAACCAGCGAGCCCAGCAAGCAGGCATTAAATTAACCAAACAACCTGCAAGCTTGTCAACCATGCATTCACAGTTGGCAACCTGCCAAGCTTCCAGCAAACCTGCCAGCCGGTCAACCGATAAGACCAGCTGGCCAATTCAAGTGGCCGGTCACCACAGTCAACCAACTAACCTACCTGTTGCAAGTCGTCACAAAGCGAGACCGGATATCCCACTGTGACTCTGCTGACAATCATCTTCAAGGCCCAGCCCTTAAGACCAATCTGGCTAAGCCACGTGACTTTCGTTGACGTTTCATCGCCATCTTTTGGCCGAATAACCAATCCCATGATCCCAACATCGGCTCTGAAATGTAATGTCAAAGTTGACTGGTCATTCTACCTCCATGATATAGATGAGACACTGAAACAAATACTTGGGAGCACTTTCCTAAAATGCATCCAATGACAAATTTAAACGTCCTGCAAAACGCATTTGTTTCACAGACTTATTTGTTTCGGTTTACATTTTCCACTTTTGTAACCTGTAATGCCAACAAATTGAGGGCGATGCCGCAGGTGTATAAGTAGTCTTGTTTTGAGGGTAACTTGATATAATGGGAGACTTTGAGACGCTGGTGGCAGCAGACATACCAGTCCTTTTTCGAGTTATTGCACATACTCAGAATTACGCACGCATGCTCAAAGCAACGCACGCATGATCAGAACTGGTAAAAAGGACACGTTTGTCGCCACCAAGCGTCTCATAGTCTCCCATTTAACCCAAGGGTCATACCTGATAGGGCCTTTGCCTGGTGGCTTGTTAGGATGATTGCAGCTCTTGTATAAGATCACGTGGCGCTTCTGTTCCTCGTCCGAGCGGACCTGCATACACTGCACGATATCTCGGTCGTCACAGGCCATCGGCATTTTGATCACGCTGAGGAAAGTGAAAATGTTGAAGAAAATGTTGACATTTGGTATTGACAGTATTTAGACCTGTAATCTGTGCTTTTTAATCTGGAAATAGTGTCCTTTTAAGCCACAAACGTCGTGTATATAGATTTCATTGGAATGAACCTTGAAGGTGTCACCGTGATAATCAACTCTTAAACTGTAAATTCTGAAAGGTTGTCTTAAAGAGGAAGGCACTGCCAAGTGTTAACAGGAGACAAGGATCTCTTTGATGGCCAGATGCGGTTGGATGTGAAATTTCACCCTTTGCTTATAAACCTGACAATTTTCATCAAGGGTTGGCCATTTCGTCAAAATACATAAAATCGGGTCACAGCCTTTGACAATTAGCGCTCCTTTTTTTTCATTGCGCTCGTTGCAATTTCCCTGGTGTGCATTATTCATATGCGTAATTGAATATTAGTTGTGCAGATAATGATCAACAGAGGTCGCGCGCTGCTCGTTCCCGCCATCACTCAGAGCCGCGCGTGCCACTATTTTCATGTTCTAACAGCGTCATGCATGTGACTCCCACGGGACATTCGACAGTCGATTATAGCTCAGTTTAATGGACATCTGTACTATTTATGTACATGCTACGGGATTAGGTTGACTCACACTATCTGCTCTACAATGTGTTATCTCGGTTGTTGTAGTAATCCATAGATAATGCACGTAAGCACGTCTAGACTGGGTAGTAATTATTAACCAATTACTTTCTGTGACAGGCTGCATCTTCAGCAGCCGTCATTAACCTTTGAACTGTTTGCGTCACAGGTGTTTGTCACTTAGCTTCAAAGGTTTTTCTCCCTGTACATAACTCTGGCCAGTGCACCACGCTTGTGGAACAACAAACTATTTGTGGTACTGAAAAAAAAAATTAATCGACGGCAACAAGTCTTCAGAACCTCGATTACTGTCAATCAAGGTTGTACATTTGTTTTAAAGTCAGCTTTAATGGGCAATTGTAAAGCCGAAAAACATTGTCCATACTGGATTGATAAAACGACTTTAGTCAAAATGTCATTTAAATGACAATAGATAAAAGCAAGGACATAAGGAGCACCTTGTAGGACCTAGAAAATTTAACTCACGTGTAGACAATCTTAAAGTCGTCCCTCTCCTCTAAGATTTCATAGTTTGGTGTCTTCCGGCTCCATTTCTTCCTTAATTCGGCATCCGTGAAAAACTCAAGAACTACGGGAGCAAATAATGATGTTCAGAATGAACCAATGGATTTGAGTATTTGTCTTTCAAATTGTTATTGATGCAGGAGTTCGGAATGTGGACTGTTTCAACAGCATGACAAGTTATCTGGGCGTTGAGGTCGAAAGCAGCACAAGCATAATAGCCAAAACGAGTGAACCTTACACAAGGGCAGTCGTAAATAGAACTTAATAAACAGCAAAGGCGCATTGGATTCTTCTTTAAAAGCTAAAAGAGGCTGGTGCTGGGTTTCTGAAATCGCAGTTGGTAGAGAGTTGCGAGGTCCATGACCGTGTCCGATTTACTCGACTACTATACAGCTTGAAATTACACTCTTGTATACGGTAGCGAATGCAGCCCTTCCCATAAACTCGTGTGTAATTTAAAGCCGCAGCCAAGTAAATCGGACACGGGTTATAATGGTCTCTGGGGAAAAAACCCAGTATAGTCGATGTTTCGTATGGTCTTACCTTTATCGCAAGGAATACCGCTGAATTCCATATATGCCTAAAAAGGGAGACAGAAAAAGAATCAAGCTTCACCTACGGACACTTGATTTCCAAAGACAAAAGCTATCACCTGCCCCATCCATTTTGTCCCTCAGCGATCGACAATGTTGATCAGAAATATCTTCTTCAAAAACCACCATATTTTCATTTTCATTATCGCTGCATTTTTTCGTTATAATTATCCATAGATTTTAGCCGGCAACGCATCAATAATCAGTCTTTGATCGAACCGACTTTGTATTTGTTCAACAGCTGTACAAATATTTCGGATCGGATACCCCTTCGTTGTTACGGCATATTTCATTCTGAGTTTTTAATATGTTTTCTTATGGATGGGAAATGATGGCTTTTGGCTTCAGCTTTATAGCCAAATCCAGTATTCGTTTACACATTTTTTCTCATACAGTAATGTTTATGATTACTGTATTTACCAAGGAAGCTTTTCCACAAGTGCCCACTATCAGAAAAAAATGATAATGACCCTGAGTCAGTCTTCTTGGAATGCGTTTTTTGTCACGGTGCTGTGCTTAATCATCAACAAGACCAAGGTCGAATGACTCCGATCAAGTGAGTGTTAATGGGTACAGTGTAAACGGCCTCTCACTCTGGCATTCGGTAACTCAGGTTACGTTTTTGATGAATCACACTTAGGCTATTTCCATATTAACTGAAATGAAATCCCGTGTATTATTTCAACCATCATCTAATAAATACAAATGAGCATACAACAAAATTGAATCTGGAGTTCTTCTTTAATATAATAGGTCTTTGCGCTGTCTATCGACAAAAGATCGTGTTCAACAAGAAGCAGATAACAGGAATTGTACTTTTGTTTAAATTGTCGATTCTTTTCTTAGTTTACACCTGGTTAGATACATAACTTTCTTACGCCCTATTTCAAGTTTAGGCAATATTATTTTTAATTGGGGTTACTTTACATAATACTCAGTTTTAAATCCATTTTGGGATTTATGATTTTAATTTAACTCTTATGTTGTTTATCATTCTGCGGTATATGACCACAAATCTTTATTAACTGGACTTAAGAATAATAGCTTATCCGTCACACCTTTTCTTGGGGTTTGATCATACTAATTGCTTTTTGTCCAAGGTTTGACATCCCTGTAATAGGATTAAATCCACACACTAAACAAAAGCACTTGCAACAGCGCATGCCTGTTCTATTTATAGGTGTTGTATTTATAGGAAAGTGAAATTAGAACCTTACTCAAAATGCATTCAGTTCTCATGCATGATTTATTGGTGTAGTTTGCCTCTTGCAACCTTTGATACGTAGCGGTGACGCTACACGTAGGATACATTCACAGGCATTTTACCATACGAAACGCATTGAAAGCCAATGATTACCACAGCCTAAAGGCATTATGCAAACTTCGTACGGAATCGCATGATTCAGAGGCAATCAAGGCCGTAACTTGGCGATTCATTAAACCAGCACAACCGCAGGGATGGACGCACAAATGAAGCGATAGCACAGCTTGATGACTCGGACTTCAGGGGCTTACATATGAAATGTGGAGAAAATACATAATATATGTTGTTAATTTAGTATTCAGAACTGAGCATTGATCAATCAAAATCCAGTATTCTGGACCGTGAACGGTTTAGAGGCTGACATTGAATCTAACTCGTGATCCAGTTCTCAGGTCTGTTATGAGATTACTGTGTTCCACATCGACCAGAAGGATTCATTCGTTGGTAGCAATACAGAGGAAAATCGTCTACAATAAGTTTCCATGGCAGGAAAGGCGATCAATCACCAAACATCACTTCATTTCTAATCTAGAAATCGCAGTGAAATGATGAAGCGAATTCATACATGTTGACAAAGAACATTCATCAACACTCTCGAGAGCAGAAAAATGCACACCATTTCAGACATGCTTTCAATCCACGAGAGAAAATCTCATACACAAAGTGACCCCTCATCGTTTTATATGCCGCAAACTAGACAGGATATCCCATTCCTAGTGAATTCACAGAAGGTTCAAATTTATCACTGGTAATTCAATCACGAACAGCAATCGATCGACAGTCCAGAAACTTGGACGGAGGACCGTGATGGCATTTCAAGTTAACATGGTTTTACCGTGTGCCGTTTAAGGCTTTGGAGTTTGTTTCGTAATTTTGTTTCGTTGTTGGTGTCAAAATGTTTATTTGCTTGTCAAGTTTGTTCACTTCAGTTTTATTTTGTCTAGTTTTGTTTTAGTTTCATCGTTTGTTCGGACAAGTGATGTGGTTGATATTGGCTAAAGCTGCGGAAACAAACTGATTAAAAATCGTCCAAAAAAGCTCAAAACCCCGAAAGAAAACCCACTGATGATTAACTTTCATAATCGTGAATGACATTTTTTAGAAACTTTTTTCCAATAGATGTGCTTGTCAGGTTGTGAAAACTCCGGATTCAAATAGCACAGGAAACATGTTCCCATTTTAAATATATATATTTCCATGAAAACGCCATTTGTGTGGACTGAGAGAACAGCGCTAGGAATATAAATTCGGTCTGACATAAGGTCTCAAAGGGTCTTAGGAGACATTCTAAACGAAAACAGTTGGACTCCAATTTTCTAGAATTCTCTAAAGAAAGCCTTGTTAATTACCGAAGAATTGAAAATCAACCACTCCATTGTGTGCATATCATGCAAGGAGACCTTCACGATCTGACAGAATACTTTCGTAGAAAGTCAGTGCCAAATCAATTGATCTTGCTGTGAAAATGAGTCATGATTCTCAGGATGCAATTTTAATCCAAGAAAAAGCCAGGGTGAAAAAGGAATACCACATACCGTTGTTTCTGTTTGCAATGTAAAACAGAACAGGTCAAAGAAAGTTTGGATGATCAAACTAACAAAGCTAATCATCATTTACCTTCAGCATTAAGATTATAGGATTGTACATCCCAAATACGCCTGATAGCCTTGACGTCATTTTGACAGTTTGTAACGAAATCTAATCAAATATTATTCCAACATTTTCCTCTTCAAACTTCATGTTCCTATCAATTCAATGAGGGAAAAATGTCACTAAAGTCGAAGGTCAAAATCTAATTTCCACCTTCACATGTAGAGTGGAAACTGCATCATAAAATATAAGTCAAAATCTGTCCAATTCCTGATACGAGTTAGACTATCAAACAACCGGGCGTACTACCATTTTTAAAGCTTGCTCGAGCTCTGGTAGTACATTTAAAATACAAATTCTCCCGAAAAAAGGGTTACTTTTGGTTATATTTAAATTAAGATGAGAAATAAAACTTTGGTCGGCCAATATTTAGCTCAGTACGTCTGTTTTAACTGTTGAACACGCTGCAAACACATGACATCGGTATTAGACTGATCTTCGAAATTTACAGCATACTCAAAACGTCAACAACCAAATTGGTAGCAATTATGGAGATGACGAATAGTGTCATGGTGACACGGCCAGTGCGAGGAATGCCAAGAATTATACAAACTGCATAGGCGACTGTGCGCTATGACTCAATCTGATCTCATTATGTGCAGGGTTTCTCGCTGGAAAGGCGCAATGCCATTTTCATATGACTCATAGATCTATACGGTGCATTTCGGTCAACGTGAATAAGTCATCGAGTATCTGAAAAATGCCTTAAACGTGCTGTGAAGGAAGACTGAATTATTCATGCTCTGGAGGAAAAAAACCCAGTAGCACTTGTATACAGGTGCTATCAAGTGTACCGTCTTGAAATACCATATGGTGTTATAGACTTAGAGTATCCTTACTGTTCATAATAATGGATGTCAATACAATGTATAAAAAATCCAAAACTTAGGTAAATGTCGCCAACAAAGTGCCCCCCTATAAGCGTGAGTACCATCCCTTCCTCCCTAACAAAACCTTCACGATATGTTAGTTTCCCTTGTTTGAGAAAGTAATGAAGGAATCAAGTTTATTAATTTCTTTTGATTCAAACCAACCATGTAAATGGTAAAAAAGTAAATTGATACGGAATACAAAGAAGTGACCGACGGTTTTGGCCATGAAAAGTAACCCGTGACATTACTTGAATAAATCAGCTATGTCGACAAATATCCTGATCACAGGTTACAACAAAACGACCGATTACATGCGTAAACAAACGAGCCTCAGCTAGCTCGTCTAGCTAGCATCGATTTTATTTCCATCCGTTTTGTGTAAATGTTGACTTCAATCTATACAGCTACGCAGAAGACAAAAATTGAAAAAACACACACACTATGTCGCTGAATAGTAAATGCAAGTTAGTACATTCCGTCTACAGTCAACGCACATTTATATTTATTATTAGAAAGTGTAAAATGCAAAACCTGACGCAAACTGCGTGATTTTTGCTTTTCAGAAAGATTCTCCCATAGGGGCCTATAGGATCCACACTCCAAACCCTCTGGTAACCTTCCCAATTTATATCAATGTCAAGGCAATAGGTCGGAGCGGTTGTGTGTTTAAATCATCGGTTCAAGAGTAGCAGGTATAGACCTGGAAAGATACGGCAAACAAAGCACTGTCATCACGCATGGTTGAACAAAATAACAAAGCCCTAGATGAAACTGTAGATTTCATATCTAGGAATTAATTAAAGCAATTGAGTTGCTATCCTGGGGCACGTTTGTCTACCAGTAACAGTACTTAATAATACACTCAATCATGTCCTAAGCTGTGCGTGTTGTAAACCATGCGTGTACTTTCCACATTGTATGATCCATTCTGTCTAAAATTTAATAAATAAATTAAAAACACACACACAAAAAACTTAGGCAAAGAAAACAAAAGATCAAGAACAAAAATAAATTGTCACGTGATCGAAAGGATTCCTCCCCTTAGGCATTTTCCCTAGTTTTCGTTTTCTTCCCTGTTGAAGTATTGTGCCTATGACATCATCATCTAGGGTTCTTACTGCCAAGACTACGTTCACGATAGATTTCGATCAAGGATTTTGCCCACGCACTTGGACTTCGCCCCAGAAGAAAACGAGAAATCGGTAAGATACGGTAGGTATAGCTCTGATCAACAAAATAAAATGCTTTTAGGTGGATTGTTTTGGATTAAAGTTTTTTTATTTGTAATTGTTTACATGTTATTGGAGCATAATGGAACAGCTCATAGGAGCAGATGGCTCTTTGCTGTTATATTAAATAAAATCAACGCATGAATACTGAGATTAGTTTCACTTTGAATGAAGTAGGCCTACCCTCCCCATAATACGCTATGCGCTCTCGCGCCAGTATACGCTCATTCATAAGTAGAAACGTGGCTTCATTGATTTTGCAATCTGATGCTTAAGTCCCGAGTTTATCGAATACCGTTAATCGATATTGTGTTTCTTCAGGGTTGACAATTACCATTTTGCTTTGCACATAATGGAACGACTGAAGAACAATGTCATCATTCGATGATCAAAACAAGGGTCATTGCAATCAGATATGGCATTTTATATACAGTCAGCGTAGAAATCTCAACCCTATAAAAACCGCATCATAGGATAGGAAAATTATTCTTGAAGCCCCAAAGTAAAAGTCTGAATCAGCAAGATGAATACAATTACAATAACATCTTGGTATGCATTTCATTCGACGTAACCATGAAAATAAGGTATCATGAAAAATGCATGTCTTCAGATACTTATGCTTTTAGACTTAAAATAATATGAAAAATTGGGGAAAAAATTTCATATCAAATTAGGTAGATAATGAAAACAAAAAATTAATTCGAGAACGTTACAGTACATAGATCGAAAGTGATCCAAGCAATGAGTGAAACCTGGTGTAGGAAGAGAAACTTTTGGAATGGAAATTTATTGAAACATGAGGTGACAATCATTTTTTATACTCGAACAAAGTAACTAAAACAAACTCAAATAAAAGAGATCGAAAATGAGAAATGGATCTAGAAATAGAAACAGATTAAACTGAAATGAACAGAACAAATTATTGCAGAGGACAAACTGAAAGAAAGAATTACAAATAAGCACTCCCAAAGGACCCCCATTTTCATATTCAAAACTAATAAAGTAACACTGATTTAAAGTGACATACATCCAAGTGAATATAAATGAATGATGAGCAAATACAAAAGCGAAACTACAGGAAAAGAGAAATATAAATTGGAAACAATATTCTCAGAAAAGCAACGGGGACAACAACAAAATCCGTACGGAAAAGCAAAATAAACAGAGGGGCTGCTAATTTCTATAAATATCATTGAGTAAACATTTCTAGAAATTCTTCCAATTGGTAGCCTCCAAAAAATAAAAATAAAAATTGGGTTTTGTTGAAACACTCTAGTTTAACTGTATGCAGAGGCCTGGGAAGTCAATCAGCCAGCTTGTGCAATATTAGTGACTGCGGCTGTCATGTGACTATATGCATATAATTAAGGTTGCAATCCATCGTGCACAACACATATGGTTGAATCGATCCCGAATAAAGCAAATCACGTGAGATACTATTGACCTCCAAGGGGCTGCTTTTTAAATGTAAACCTAAACTCAATGATTGATACTAAACTCCAATATTGCCATGAATAATACGCCGTAACATGCTGCATTGTAAGTAGCATGTCTCTCCTTCACGCTGTCCCTAAAATGACTGATCATTAATCGATCAATGCGAAAATGCACACAGCAGACCAACCAGGTCTCTCGATATACGGCTGCAAAAAAAAAAAAAAAAACCGTAACACCAGAAACACATGACACAGCGTTTATTATTTTGTAAAGCCCAGGAAAAACAAACGATAATGCCGTGCCATACCACTGGCCCGTGAACGGCAACCCGTTGAATGCGGGTATACATTACCAGTTAGAACAGTATAGGATTATTGGACGCATCAGAACCGAGACGGTTTAATTATAATAGTGAGGTAGTTGTACAGCGTGGAGACTGTGACAGCCTCAGGTTTAGGGTCGGGTACGTGCGCGTGGCCTAGCACGCTCTAAACAAGTCGGGCAAGGATGGCAATAATGCATCAATGCCTCGATAATCGCATAATTTTGGGCAGCGCTAGCTCGCATAATGCTAGACATGCAATATGGCCTATAATGACTGTATAGGATTAGAATATTCCAGTAGTGATGACTGTTGCACGGGTCAAAGGTCACGGGACGTCTGCATCCATCATCATCGTCGTAGCAAGTGGGTGGGGTGCATGTTTCTCTTCTCAGCGCAACAAACTCTTACCTTGATCAGTGGCACGCCATTTTTCTCAGGTTTCTTGAAGACCGTTACCCCCTTGATCTTCTTGGATTTCTCCCAGCCCTTGTCCTCCCCTTCACTAGCCTCCAGTTGCAAGATCTGTTCCAAATCATCCTCTGAGAAGGGGTTTTCTTGTGGAGCCTCTAGACTCGGCGGGGAGGCCTCCTGCGCTGCTACAGCGGGTTTAGATTCCTCTTTCTCTGCACTCGCTGCTTGTTCGGCCCCACCCTCTTCTTTCGCTGCTTCTCCGTCCGCACCAACCTCCCCTGTCCCTTCCGTCTGCTCCTCCTTAGCCGGCTGGTCCTCGGTGGCCTCAGCCGGTGCGTCCCCCTCCTGAGGTTGCTCCTCCGTTTGGGGTTTTTGTTCCGTTTCCGACATTCTGGCGGTGGAAAGTTGGACAGATGTGAGGGGATGTGACGGGATCGAGCTGCTCGTCCGATAGCGCGATGACTGTGGAGTAGCAAGGCTATGCTGAACATCACGTCGCGGGCATGCGCAGTACTGGCTCAGCAAACAGGGCTGGGATCCAATAGCTGCTGTCACATGCATGAAACATTTATAAGTGGGGCTGTCGCTTCTAGCGCAGCGCATGTAGTAATCATGGCCATGGGAACTACAGGTATATGGCGTTAACACTGAACTTCTACAAAGATACAGGTGGTTAGACCTAGAACGTAGGAATTATTATAATAAACATACCTGCTGGCGAGTTACGTCGCAGTAAACTTCAGAGTCATATTTCACCTTTGTCGAACCCAAGTTATTAACCTGTGATGTTTTAAAAGAAGTGTTGCATAAACTGATGAAACGTCACAAAACACGCACATCTTAACTCCACGGTCCGTGTTGAATTCAATTGGGGCAACGGACTTTTGAAATGCCTCAGGAAGGTCATAAAATTCCCTTGTGTCATGAAATGTTGACAAACGAAATCTTGACCCTCATGTTATTATGCAGCGGAACAGGTGCACGTATCAATCGGAACAACATGTTACAACAGAGTCACAAGATCAGTGTAATCTTTAACCTCAATCTAATCCCCACGTGACCCGGTGTACTTACATATTACAGTTCCTGTTTAAACCTGTCATGTGCAATGCGGTAAGGGAACTGATCCATGCTTCACATGAAAAACGATAGAACATGACTACTGGAATAAAATGGACTGACAGAATATGATGAATGCTACCAGGGCACCAGATTTTAGTTTGAGGGTTCACAGGATGAAATATCTTGCATGATGATGGTAGCCCCCAGAAATTTGGACTAACCCCAGCAAATTGTGTCCAGTGCCAGACACCGGCAGTTTCAGGCTATAATCTTACTCGTGAAAGGTTTATTAATGTTAACGAGTAAAAGGTCATGGCATCCGCCGGGCCATGTTTTGCTGCGCTCAGTCGGTCACTTTCGGAAAATGTCAAATGTAGATTTCATCGTTTTTCAGCTGACACCGAATGTTTGACCCAATTTGAACCTGGCATATACTGTCCCTTTGACAGCAACACTGGCTTATCATGCGCATGCGTCCCTGGGAGTTGCTTTCTGTATTAAACTGTTCATGCATACCGTGTACCTTTTAAAGTGAAATCACGTGTACACTTCAGAACAAAATCCAGTGCGCATATGTTGATTAATTAAGAAATGGTAGGAATGGAAGCAATTGTATGAAGAGGTAACGTATCCAGCTTTTGACGTGGGGGAAATTCAAAACGCAAATGCACTTTCGGTCTCATCAACATGATAACGGGGGAGGAAAACTATAGCCTTTTTATTTGATAAAAAACAGACTGATTTGTTTCTTTCCTGCTTACCTATGAAGTAATCCCAATTTAAGGGAAAAAAATTTAAAAACATATTTTAAAAAGTCCGGGGGGGAGGGGAGGCGGAGTTGCCACCTGCGCCCTCTGGATACGCCACTGGTATGAGGCAAAACCAGGCCCTAAACACAACTGTTAGACACAAAGACAAGTGTGCGTATAGGCCTAGCTAAAATTGTTTGCTCAGTTTCGACGTTTGGCGTCATTTTTGCATTAGGCCTATATTAAACTGAAAAAAATTCAAAAGAGAAAATATAAACCCGAAATGTATATCTCTAATTACATCACAAGAACCCTCAACAGACTCACACTAGTCAAGGAGGAAAACAATTTTACAAATTAGAATTAAAGTTATTTTTTCAGTCTTAATGTTATTCAACACCTTTCCTGATTTTTCTTTGACATTATCAACTAAAAGCTAGGCCCAAACCGATCTCATTATTTAAAAACTAAACATGATTTTGACATGAAAACTAAAGTTAATGGCTTTCGATAATCATACTCTTTCTTTCAATACCTGCATAAATCCCCGTCATCTGATTGGTAGATCTTTGATCGCATGCCATTGTATTGAACTATTCGCTCTATGCAACAAGTACTGTTGAACAGTGGCGGCGCTGCGTGGTGTCATGTGGGTGCAAATGCACACACCGTGAAAAGCCGTTTGCACATAAAAACTTTGGTCACACATTACCACAGGGCGATCAACCTTTTCGTTTTACGACTTCGCATCATAAGCTAGGAAATATGAAGGATCGTTTGCCTTGCCCTACACTTGCATCCACAGCCACCAAGGTCTGGCGCCGCCACTGCAGTTGAATAGAAGAGGATTTATGAAGATTTTGTATAAAACAAATAATGGATGTTTCACATTCGCACAGTGGTAAGAATAATTTCAATTTCAAGAAACTCGTAAAGAAACAACTCCATTATAAAAATCAATACGCAATAATATTTCCGATAGACCGACTTACAGGCCTCGCTCAACGGCGATTTTAAGGTCCAAAATTCGTGAGTAATGCTAGTCGACATGCGTGCATAAGCGCGTATGACGCGCACGGCTGAAACATTACACGTGGCCGTGGAGAGAAGCACGTGTTGCAGCCCATGCACGTGCGCAGTGGGCGGGTTTTATTGAATAGATCAGTCTGTGTAGATGGTCCATTATAGATTAATCCTGCGAATGCCATTTTTCCGCAGTGGTGTTACGCTAACACGTGTCGCTTTCAGATATTAAGACGCACACACTAATTCGCCCAATCCGGTTCATTCGTGTGACGTCACTTCAGTTTTTATACCGCGCCTTCAATGCACATAGCGTAAAAATGGAACCACTGGAACCGGAAGTAAACGCTGCCCGAGCGTTCATCCAATTGGAGCTTGTCATTTGTGGTACGTGGGCGTGTATAACGAAACCATTAACATTCTAGGATGAAGTTTTTTCTTTCTTTGTTACAGAGATAATTAATTTTTAGTCCAACAAGTGGCTGGTAACTGTGGTTGGCCGTCAGTAAAAAAAAAAAAAGAAAGAAACAAAATATTTATTCACAAATGTGGAGAAAATCACGCGGCTATCAAATCACCAGTCTATAAACTATTGAAATGAAAATATTACCCGCTTTAATATTAATAGGGAAATGAATGATTTGAGGTTAAACATACCCACACTGACCCGAAGTGAAATCTTTGCAAACTTTAGGTGTCTATACAAAATAAGAGGCAAAATGACAGAGGTCGACGACTCAAACCTCTGGTTCTATCCCAAAGCCTGTTCTATTTATTCTCCAAAGTCTTCACATCATTGACAAACTTGCTTTCACTGCCAGCACCGCTACTGGTATTGTAGTGGTTCTTCCAGTAAGCGGCTTGTTCTTGTAAGCCGGAAGGGATTGGAGACGGGATGTTAGCCAGAAAGAGTCGAGCGGCTAAGGCTGAGTAGAGTGGCTTCCTCAGGTCATCCCACTGTACGGTTGTCCAGTCAATGCTCAAGGAACTCTTGATGGAGGCGAACTTGTTACGCAAACCTGCAGGGTTTGGAAAAAATCAGCGAGGCTTTCAGGAAGGAAACCTCAACAGGTAAAGAGGTTAAGAAGTACATTGTGCCATTTAGTGTCTCTCTCTGCTTGCTTCCGGTATCTCGTGTACACAGGCTTCATGTATAGGCCTATAAAAAAAGTGTCTTGCGCCCTTCAAAATGCCAATGCAACAGAATTGATTCACATAATTATGTCTTCCTTCATTGCTCAAAAAAATCAGGTAAAAGTTACTTTACATGCTCCAACCTTCCTTATGCCTTAGTGTCTTCTTCCTATGAACGTGAATTACAAACTCAATCTCAATGTTAAGTGTCTGACTGTGTTTTTACCCCATTCACTCCCATGTGCTCAAAGAGACACAAACGCAGTTGAAATGAGAGAAAACGCAGAATGACAGATACTGTGTTTATTGTTTCATCTTGTTAACCTGGATGGCTGGCGGTGTCTTTGGTTGACTCGAAGCCAATCTTGTCCACCTGCCAGATTCCTCCGTGGTAACCTGCTCTGTAGGTGTTGGGATCCGTGCCATCCTTCGATTCCACCCAGGCGACGCGGCGAAGGAACCCGTGATCAGACGGGAAGATCCCGCCGAATGATTGGATGCAAGCCAGTACCACATCGGAACCGGAGGACTCGGCAACTTTGATTTTCCCTGATGGAAAGGTTGTCACATTATTAATAACTCCTTGCTTTAGCTGAAGGGTTTACCGTACCCGGGAATTCATTCTCCTGATTCACGCCCAATTTTAACTTTTTCGCACATTTCTTTCAGACCGTATGAAGGCCTACGCGGTTATCTGACATTTTTTTGAAAGCGTTTATTCGTTAGATTTAGATCGATGTTCACAGGCTAGTCTAGGCTAGATTTTTGAACCGCACACTCTTTGTAAATGAACATCGTGTAATAAATAGAGTGGGGGTTTGTTCCTGCTTCGATCTACAGTGTATATTTGGCCTTGATCAAGGCCGCATGCGCGCGTGCTCGGTTCCTCAGAGACAAGTGGGGGTAAGTTTACTCGCTTAAAGAACAAGTATCACTGACGTGCTAAGCCCGTCTCCAGTCGTGACTTATACACACTAAAACATACATCCCAAATTCTCAAAACAATTAATGCAGATGAACTCACCTGCCATTTCTTAAACTCCGTCAGGAAAATCAAGAATTTGGTACAGATATCAGTCACAAATTCGTCGCGTTCAAAGCAGCCTACACCGAGGTTAAAGGTTTTTGATGCAGACAATCACACCAAATCGCTTGTCATGCAGTATTTTGTGTCTGTTCCTGCAGTAAAATGTAGGGCTGAGTTGGCTCACTGCCTACGATCAGTGCCTGGTTTAACAGCCAAGGCAAATATTTCAGAAGTACCTCGAAAGTTCCGGTCTGGATCATTCCAAGGCGTGGTTATTCATTTCCGCGTTGGGGGCGCTGTAACCAATGCGCCTGATCGCAGCTTTGCGTGCGCACGTGACGTAGGGAGGCTACGTGCACGACGTGACTAGCCAGAGATCAAACGGTTTTCCCCTTTTTATGCCAGAAGGGACCCTAGTATGTTTCAACAGGAAATAAGACTTCCCTCGACAGATTTATGCGCGAGTTCACTTCCCACGTGATTATGTGGGGTTTTTTTTGTTTATTAAAAAGGGGATAATGTTCGGGTCATGTCTTCCTCCAGTAAACAACGCACAAGACATGAGCTCAAAAACCCCTTTTTCATATCATAGCTGTTCGGAGAACGTAAAGGATTAACACATCGATCGTCAACGTCACAGAACAAGGTCTTGGTCAGCACTGCGGAAATGTAGTCAGTGGTCGTCTAAAATGAGCCAGTTCGGTATTTCAAAAAGCCAAGGTCTTTCGAGAACAAAGCGCGCGTGAGTCCGTGTATGGCTACGCTGATAGGACAGACTATCGCGTGCGTGTAGCTTTTCCCAAATAGCCTCATACTGGGCATGCGCTGCTCATTTAAATGTATCTACATGTAGGCCTATAATGGCAAGTTACCGTCAAGGTTCCAGATTGAGCTTTTTTTATACGCCAGCTTTAGAACTTAAGGCGTCCAAAACGTAGACACCTCGGCTAAGAATCTGTCACATACTAACAAACAGAGCAGAATAAATATATCCATAGTATAACATGTTTATCAAATGTCCACCTATATTAGATTGAATATATTACTCAAAACTATGCCATACAGAACAACAATCAATAATGACCATCAAATAATATGAAAACACTGACAGGTATTTATTCATCACAGGTCAAGGCAAATAAAAAAACCATGCGATATAGCAACAAAAGTATGAAATACATGAGCACACCTGTCCAATAAAAGGTACCAACATGGGTCATAAGAAGGTTGTGGTCATTGGTATTCCTTTGAAGCTTTGGAAAGGCAATCATGCCATTAAACGTTGGTCTTGATAAAGACAGTACAACTTAAAGTTCTATTTATAGACCGGTATCACCATTCGGGAAAAACTATATAAAGGCCAAACATACTCTGTGACAAGAAATGCTTCATAACATGGAACTGACTCAAAAGTTACATGTATAATACATCTACTGTTACCTGTTGCGGAAAAAAACGTGAATGTTAGGGTTATCATCAATATACATGTATGTCTGAAGTCTTGAGCAATTGGACTTGAAACATTATCATGTGACTACTTAGTAACCAACCAGGTTTGATGAACAACACATTAAGTCCAAGTGTGACCAATCAGAATATAAGTTACTTTTATTTGATTACCTCTTAGCCAATCAGAAAGAATGAACTATACTAATGTGACTACTTCTAAGCCAATCACATACAACGAACTATCCCAATATGAATTTGTATCCAATCAGATTGTATGAACCATCCAGGCTGCTTACAGTACTTATTCACTCTAGACTTCAAATCTGACTGACATTAATAACTACAATTCTTCATTCAAATCTGTATAAAAAAATTGAAGGCCATTTCAACACATCACACAAATATCACAGTTTCTTTTGACCAGCTGACATGCAGTTTTAACTCTGGGAAATTGAAGAATTCACATATCTGACACTGACCATTTCTGAGAAACAGGAAAATGTACATGTATATATATCTCATTATAGTTGTCATTAAATAACATGAATTAAGATGCAATAACTCAACCAATGAGGCTTTTCTGATTCAGGAAAACCTCACAGGAGATTTGAGGTAACAAACCCCTGAAATGGAGTCCAGTACCCACTGAATTTGGCCAGGTACAACCATAAAAGATAATGTGGTGCTTGTGAGCCCCACCTTATTACATCCCTGATTTTGAGAACAGTTTACACTGGGAATTAAGAAATCTACCATCAATCTTGTCTTTGTTACATTCCAGGCATTTCAAAATTGGGGCAGATTGCAAATAATTCCCACTTAGAGCTGAGTCGATTTGAATAGTTCACTATTTGAATATTCGACCTTCAATTCGATTGAATATCCGGCAGATTGTTGATGAACAATCCATATACAAAATCAGTTGCAATAACGCACACAACTGTACATTTTAATCACTGTAATAGCTTCTCACATCTAGGAGTATCTCCAGCCATGATTTAGCAAGATTTAGAGATGAACAATACTTCTTGTCCTTTACAATTTTGTAATGAATAAATTAATTTTTGAATCGTAGTAAGATCTTTGTCACTTTTCATTTGAATCTGCTTGAAACAAGCTTCCACAGTGCAAATGTTCTCATTTAAAACGAAAGAAAACTCTCCCTTTGTTTTCATGAATTTTGCATTCGAATGTTCAAATTCGGAGAATAAAATTGGATTATTTGATACTTTATCGAATATCCGGACATTCAACACAGCCCTATTCCCACTATGCCAAATAGGTTCTCCTTGCAGTGAAAAAAATTGCTCAAAATTAATTCAAGGCAACAATGGACCATTAAAGTTAACCTTCTTATCTTAATGCCCAAATGTGTCAAAAAATGAGGTCTTAGAATTCGGGTAGGTCGCAATTCAGTGAGCACACAGATGACTTGATGAGGCAATGTTGTATTCGAGCCATCACAGGATCCAGTCACAAGTCCCTTCACAAGGCCAGTCACAAGTCCCTTCACAAGGCCAGTCACAAGTCCCTTCACAAGGCCAGTCACAAGTAACAGGGTGAACAATGACAAAGGAATGCTTTTGTCACAGCTCATTTGAATAGCTTGTGAATTGGCTTCAGACTGAATGCCTTGTGATGGACTTACAGGGACGTGTGATAGACTCGAGCTTGGATTACATCACCCATTTGTTATATGCTTTAGCTTTATAGGCTCTGTACAATGTAATATGATTGGCTGGATGTGTAGCACCTTGCATATTAACCACATACAGGTACTACATGCCTTCATTATCTGCTATGGTACGCCTCACCTGATTGGTCAGCTGGTGAAGCACTGGACTGCTGGGGATGAGACAGTAACTGTGATTGGTCGCGTGTCCAAGGGTGTGGCTGAGTGAAGTTCTCTGGAGTTGGCTCCACAACATCGTCGTTAAGAGTGCTATCAGGAGAGCTTGCGGACACTGAAATCTTGCGGCTGAGTACAAGAAGAGAGGGGACAAATGGACAAATTTATATCCGTCAATAGGGACTTTATATCAATCCGGTGGGCCGGGTTGGCTTTGTGCTGCTTTCCTCGTCTTTCATCTATGCGGCCCGGTTAGAGTCCCGGCTTGATCCACAAGCCGATTGGGTTTTCATTCTCTACGTGATTCCGTGGGTTTTACCCAGAAAATTTTTCTGGGGGTTTCTTCCACCTCTGAAAGTTCAAATTGCTTCTCATTGTCTTCTTTCTACAGGTCTCCTCAGGCTTGTGAGCGACAGTGCCGAGGGCGCTTTTGAGGAATCCTTGGTGTCATTACCGGAAAGACTAAATAATAACAACCATAAGCACTCCTGCCAGGACTGACAGAAAATGGGTCTGGTATACACGTCAAAATTGTCAACTTGCTGTACATGATCCACGTGAACAGGAAATGTACTACTGACTGTCTGCAAGTGCTATTGATCATTTACCGCTTGGTTCGCCTGTCTGATTCATTGTTGCTGTCACTGTTCGAGGCACTATGGCCGCAGCAAGAGCATGCACTATCGCTGCTAGAGGAACTAGAACTAGATGAGCTGCTACTGTCAGATTGAAGGCCAGAGGGTCGGGATAGATCCACCTTATCGGCTACGGCTGCTAACTCAGGCTTCTCTCTCTGTTGGAAAAGGCAAACTCAACAGTAAGGCACTGTGGCAAGTTACACGGCTTTACATTAGCCTTTGGTAATGGCTTTAGCCAGTTCTCATAGAGCCGCAGCTAATTAATTCAGAAACAACCTAACACCCTGTCGAAAGCAATATCCATCTCAAGTAGAAACACCCCCTCATGGGTTGAAAGGAGTCATGTTAGTGGGGAGAGTTCATTTTGTTGGCAGTGATGCGACTGTAATACGTGCATTTCATAGTCATTTGTGCACCAGTGAAGTGCAGTTCCTTCCATAGGAGCTGGCGTTGCTTGGGAAATTGCGCCCTCTGTTGGTCCAGCTCGGGGCTCATATTGTTGTCAGCAACTGACGCTACGAATGCCAAAATTCAAAGACCAATTATCCTTGGTAAGTCACCTTATTGGCTCTGGTCTCTATGGTTTCCCTCTCTGCTGACAAAAGCATAATTCTACGGAAAATGCCAGTTCATACTTCAGGGAATTACAAAGGGAAGCACATTCAACATCACAAAACGTATGCAGCAGAATTTGTTGCATTGTGTTCAACTACTGTGTATTTGCATCGTAAATGTTTGATCAGACATCACCAAATCACATTTGTATTCGCTTTCACACCAAGCATGAATCGACCAAAAGATAGAGTCACAAATGGGACTGGTTACCTTCAGTTAGGACCACTCAGTGGGTTGCTCAGAGCAACAGACTAAATCCCTTATGACTGGGCTGATTCATCCTTATTATGGCTACTAGGATTTTCACTCCGTGGAAAAAGGTCATCTGAAGAGGACGGCTGTTGGCTTAGGTTAATCTTTACGGTAAGCCAACAGATTTGTCTTGTAGCCATATAACCGCAGAATCCACAATGTGAATACAGCCCTTCTGATGTTCTGAAGTGTGACGTCATTCAGAACCAGAAAGGTTAAGAGCAAACAAATGCAGCACGAGGACGTCTTTTATCCACATAATCCTCTGTGTGACATATCCATTTCACTACCTACCTTTGACTTTTCACTCATCAAACAAGTGGGTGTAATCAAGTCAAACTGAATGCCAAGTCACAAGTCATGAGTTAGTAATCCAACAACTTCAACCAAGCACAGTGACCTAGCATTTAAAAAATCACCCACCTTGAGGGCAACTAGCCATTTCTTGGACAGTTTAGGCCGGCCTCGGACGGTCTTGTGCCAGACAGTCGGAAAGTTGGTCTGACTGGAGAAGTTCTGAGTGACAGCGATGGTCATGTCTAGGTTGATGACAACATGCCACCATCCTCCAGGGACAAAGACAGTCTCGCCTGGCCCTTGGATAATCTCCAGCTGAACAAGAAATGTAAGCATTCTTGTGATTAAACAAACATAGTTGAGTAAATGATGATCCAATATCTGGCAAGAGTTGACACCCACACTAAATATTTTGGTTTCAAATTCTTTTGATTATATGAGGTGGATAAAACACCGAGTGACTCTTCCGGGGCACAATATCTCATGTTTTCACGCCAGCGCCTCTCCACTGCAATGCCTGAATTTTGACAGGAATGGGGCTTATTACAATATTTTTTACTGCGTCAACGGCCGGGAGTATCAACTTATTATTGCTGCTGTCACCTTGTTCGGAAATGCTCTTTGTCAATGTCAATCATAAATAAAATTGGAATATGCAACCTCTAGCAGGAAGCATCTACCTACTGGTTGACAGTCCTTTGGCCAAGATGGTAGTTTGCATCGTGGATAGATTACATTGAACCACGTAATTGCCTCATCTCTCTGTCTGCCTCCCTCTTCTTGCTTCACTTTCAGTAATTCCTTTGGAGTGTGAGTAGGGAACATGACCCACCTGATGAGATGGAAAAACAATTTCTTGGTTGTGATAACAAGAACATTAGCAATGCTGTAAAAATTGGAAAGTGACCGTCAATTTTTAGGAATTGCTTATTGAAGGCAACGGGTTGTTCCAAATCATGAGACAAGCCAACAAGGAAGACTCGAAAGTCATTTGTACCTTTTATGACCTCTGATGAGTGCATTCCAAGCGCTGGTTCCCAGCGGATCAATATGGATGCCGGTACCCGAGCGTGCAGGACCAATGACAATCCAGCGATACGGTGGTCGCCGGTCTTCCCCGACGTACTTAAACAGGTCATCCCGAAAGAACTTGGGCACGATGTAGTCACTCAGAAGTTGCTTCTGTTTGCTATGCTGCTTTCAAAATTAAAAGAATACAACAAATCTTGCTACCAACAGGTTAACAATTAAAAGGGTCCAAACTATTTAGCAAAGTGAAAGGTTTTCAAAGTATCAGCATCGAGCAGAAGCACCCCCTCTGAGCTGAGTTGATTGGGAGTGTTCATTTTGTTGGTAGCGATGCGACCGTAACGCATACATTTCATTGCCGTTCGTGAACCAGCGAAGTTCAGTTCCAACCAAAGGAGCCTCCGTTGCTAAAACTGCTCTCTCTCTTGGTCAAGCTAGGGGCTTATCGAGGACTACAGGCAGTTTCAACAGGATTTTCAACCTATTGAACATATTCTCTAGACTACAGAATACAGTCGCTGTTTGATTCATGAATACTGAATTTCTGATTTACCTCTGCAAAGCTGCTGTCAAAGATGTAGAGTGGACTGTCGTCTCTATTGTTGGCTGCATATTTGATGTAATATTTCATTTTCATTTTGACGGAGTAGCCTTCGTCATCCTCTCCACATTTGAAGCGTTGGTTCCTGTACTTTTTAGCCAGCCGCTGTAAAAAGCAAGAGATCACTGTTGGGTAACTGATGTGACGTCATTATGAACAGTCTAGAGTATCACCATATATGGGCATAGTGACCTTTCCTTACTGAAACAGCAATTTTTGTCCAAATTCAACTCAATTTAAGTTTGCAACAACAAATTTTAAATCCCATCGGTACAAACGTGTTTTAGAACTTCCAGTTTATATCTGTAGTCAGATTTTCTGCACAGCCAATCAAATGTTTGGAACTGAAATTTTTCATTATTGTTTTTGTTTTATATGCTCGATGCTTAGGGAAAAGCATCCATAATGTGCAAACACCCATACAATCCGTTGCAGGCTGCTACAACAAGCCTTGTGATTGGTTAAAATTATGGTAATAGTCCAGACTACTGAACCAGTCTCCAAACTCAGGCCTTGTGGCTGCAACATGTACATATTTAACCCTAACCCGCTAGGATGTATGTAAACTCATAATAAAATCGGAAGATATGGCACTGTTGTGAAAGCGAACACGAATTCCAATTCTGTGACATCAGATTGAACAATTGATTTGCAAATTTGTAAAACCTAAATCAAATAAAGCGAAATTCACTGCAAACGTTTGCTGTCTGAAGAATGAAACAGCCTTTGGACTATCCAATATTGGGGGATCACACAGGTCAGGGCATGTATATTCATTCCATTCCTGGTTCCTGTCTCTAGTACTGTAACAGAAGTAGAAGGAACCAGTCTACTCCAACTACAGAGAAGATATTATGGCTGCTGTAACTATGGGAACCTCAAATGCCTCCAAATTGTAGCTGTGGTTTAGAGAGCTCATCACCCTTGCCAGTACAGTGGCACCTTTTGAATGGGTTCATTGACTTGAGTTGTTTTCAAATGCCATGCTAACTGAATAGATAACAATTCATTTCACTCGAGTGGACCAAGACAAAAAAACAAAAAAAAAGTCCTCTTTACCAAAATCTCGTATCACCCAAGCTCATATCAATGACTTTTTCTCATGGGAATGTACATACTTTGATCGAGGCTTGTCTAAACCTGAATTTCATCCTATCCAAGCTCGTACTATGAGTCGACAGTATCTATCACATGTATTACGTTAACCATGGTATTTTTGTTTACCTCAGGTGTCCATTTCTCCTTGGCCGGCCAATCAGTCTGATCATTGGTCAATACACAAGGAATTGCTGGTCTCTCAAATTTATTGATGAACTCCTCTAGAGAAATCTGTGTGGAGTCTACTCGCGTGACCCCTTCTGTGATGCCACTAGCCGAAAGGTCAAAGGTGCGGTGGTAATTCTGCTTTTCCCAATCGTGGGAATCTCGGAGCTCTGAAGTTGAAAATAACAGATGACTGAGAATTTCAACAGGAAGTTTTACTTTCCATTCACATCATAGTACACCTGAGACTGAGTACAATGAACACATTTTGACTTATTATAGCTTCATGGTGTCACTAACATGAATAAATTTCCTTCCTACAGTGAGCCACTTTACAACATCTAAAAGCAATAAGATGTCCCAAAAAGTCAAATTTAGCAGAGAAAATATTGAGCTATTGGAAAGAGTTCCATATATGGACAACACAAATTTACCCTTTCAAATTCAATGATATAACAACAGCTGTCATAAAGTGATAAAATGTCCCCAAAATGAACTTTACTTAGCCTAAGTTTAGCTGAAAAAATTCTGAAGCATTTTCTTGGAACAGTCTTGGGTCTTTCAGGGAAAGAGTTCCATACATGGATGCCACTGTTCATAAGCCTATGAGACTGGTCTGAAAATTTCTGAGTGTTTTCTGTGTAAATGACTTGGTTTCTTCCCTCCTGAAATAAACTTTTCTGGACAATGTTTTTTTCTATCTGGAACCAGTCATTCCCTTTTCAGACAGTTCTCGTAGCATGACATGTACTGATGTAGCCTACATGTACTTATGTATGGGCATGATGGGGACATCAAGTCTTTAGGGGATATTATCCGTGTATGGAACTCTTTCCGAGGTAGGCCTATTAAGCCTAAACAGTTAAAGAAATTTTTCAACCCTACCTGGTCTTGCTGCCCGTTTTGCGCTCCATACTCTCCGTCGACACTTCTCGTCCATTCAAACTTGACCTGTCCTGATAAAACCAGGTCAAAAATATCACCTGTCTTCCTGCTTGCAAAGAATTCAGTTTAAGCAGATTCTGTTGACAATCAGTAAAATGCCTAAAATTCTATCAATTTAGATCGGGAGGGGGGGCCTATGTGACGTAGCCAGGTTTCAGCTGAATGCAGCAAGTTGCCAAGAACAAGTAAGTATTCAACGAAATGATAAAAATTACACGTGTTTCGAAACCAGCGAAAGGCATTCAGCTTGAGCAATGGGATTTCTTCACTGGCTCCCGCCTGAAGGACGCCCTCAAGTGACGTTTCTTTTCCATAATTAATACTTCTAGCCCAACTTCAACCTTTATCCACTTAACAAGTATTTTTTATGCTTCATACAATATTTCTATTATTCATTATCGGATATTACTTCTCATATCATTACATGTTATGGTAGGAAAAGGATGAGAAAAATTACGTTAAAAGGAAATAACGATTGTAAAAATGACAAATTTAGACTTAAATTAATTTTTCAAGAAATATTTCCATCAACCCTGAATGAAATTCATTAATTCATTGTAGACACGTCAAAAATATCCACCTATCTATTTCATTTGTCATCCAGCGCCCACACAGGACGCTGGGAAGGGCTAATCCGTTTCATGTATTTTTGTGAAGGAAATACGTCACACGGGGTCACATTTTTAGACGCGCAAAACATTGCGAGATTTAAGCACAGGTGCGAAAGCGACTCATTTGATGACAATTCTTAATCCGCAACTAATTTCCGTAACTATTAGCAAAATCTAAGGATAAAATGATTTACCCAAGAATGTTTACAAAGGAATTAATGACCTCTCGGTCAAAGGTCTTAAAAATTTGGCCAATGAGAGCTCAAAAACGATTCCCAGCGTCCTGACGAGCGAATTGCCTGAAAACAAACAATGTGGACAGATTTAAATGCGCGTATATACCTCGATCCAAAGACGTACTAAACACAGACTTACTTTCAATTCAGTTAGGCCTACTCTGGATTCAACATTTAATCTTCCTACTTTTGCACATAGTTCCTGCTTAGCTGTGGCCCATACACGGAACTCATTCTGCATTAATTTTTAGCAAATTATATTTCATTGAAATTAAACATACGAAATTCAAGTAGAGAATTACCATTACTTTATTTGACTTAACTTTTCGTTCTGTTCCGGACATTACATTTTTAAGAAAGAGAAATGAAAATCCTGCGTCTAGTTGAAGATAGGCCTATCTATTACGTCACGATAGCCATATCTATTTGTGGTAACTTGCGTGGTATTGCAATTTGATTAAGAAATTCACAATAGACTGGTCGAGCCGTTTTCTTTACAGAAAGGAAAACGACAGAGTTGCTGACTCCAGTCATAACGTGTCTTGGACTCGAGTCCCTACAGTGTATTTTGTGACTTGTGACTTGACTTGTAAAAACCAGCTTTGACTTGTGACTTGACTTGGACTTGCAAAAAATGACTCAAGGCTTGATGCCACCTCTGGGAAACAACTTTAAAATGATTTTTAAAACGACTCGGTGGTTGCAAACTGCTCTATTAAAACGGTAAGTTACGTATCATGACAAAACAAGTCTGCTTTGGGGAAATGTGACCACTGAAACGTCCTGTCAAGGATGAAAAAAAATGCTACCAAATCTGAAATTGGAATGGTTTTCCGTCATTTAATGAAGGCTGTGCTTATATAATGAGCACTTTCAATTTGATAAAATAAAACAAGAATGTTCCTTGTGCGTCCGCTGTTGGCGTACACAGAGCCAAGTGACGTACAGGACAGATGTATCAACAAAATCGGCATGTTGTTCTTGGACGACAGCATACGAAAACTGGACTGTCAAACTGAGGCCCAGGCAGGTTTCTGAGAAGAGATCAAAACTTCAATTAGGCCTTGGAATGGGTGCAATCATCCGCTCAATCTTGATGATAATGGCTAGATTTTTACGCGCACTGGTCATCAATATTTTGTGAATCCCATAGGACAACGAGAGGTGCTATAATTGGAAGCACTCCTGTAGATATTTTCTAAATCACGAATTTGAGCTTTGTTGCTTCAAACTCGGAGTATTTCGTTCACAACTTGATAACCTCCAACCTTTAGGCCTTTTGCATAGAGGCGCGGGGGTAGAACTGAGCGCATGGGTTTCCCTACTATTTGGGGGTGCTAGTGCTGAGCAACAATACACCAAGTACCTCTCCATAGCCCGGCGGCGCCCTGGCCCACTTAACGTAAACAGCGCCCTCAAGGATTCTTAATAAGTCACTGGTATCCTGTTTCCATACTTTGCAATATTGTGCATGCGATATTTCACCGCTTACCAGTGTTTTTTTAATCGACCGGAGCAGCCGCTCCCGCGGCTAATGTGCGCTTTAAATCTCTGCAATGTTTCTCCAAGTTTTCGGCGAAAATGTCAAGTAACAGCAACAACAAGTAGCATAAATGACTGAGTAACCATGGCTTGACCTATCAACTAGGGGATTAAAAGCCGTCGCGAGACAGACAAGTCGGAAATCAGAGTTTATGTGAAGTAGGGACGACAGGAAAACATTAATTTACATGTGTAGGACGCGGTTTGCACAGTCACTTGGGCTGCAGTGATTTTGTACATGTCGCAGGCATTCACGCTGTAACTTCAAGAAGTCTTCAACTGTACTTTACAATCGGTTGTTCTTGTTTGATAGAAGTTGACACCATGCCTGATCCAAAAGACGACTCAAGCGTACGTGTGGCATTGAGGTAAGATGTCTGTGACTAGTACATCTATTAATCTAATGATCTACTGTACCATACTAGGCCAACCGTCCAGGCTAGACGCCTTTCTGTCATTTTTGGGGGTCAAATACTGATGTCATAATTCAATCAAATATCATGTAGGCCCTAGGCCTATGATTTAGGCCAAACTGCATGAACTGCAGACAATTAATTAATTAGGCCTGTACTGTAGGTGTTACGCCCCAACTATAGCATCAGTCCCAACTATAGTTGGGCCCGTCCCAACTAGAGTGCTACAGTTGGGCCGGCCCAACTACAGCAGAGAGGTCCTGTGTGCATGATGTGCCCAGCATGTGCCAAAGTCATATTGTTTGCAAATGTCATGTCATTGGTCATAGGGCTAAGTGCCACATTTTAGATGAATTGTGTCAAGTGTGAGACACACTGACTTGGATAATGTTGAGACATTTCCCACAGGCATTGGTCAACAATAGTTGGGCCAGCCTAACTACAGCATTACAGTTTGGACCGTCCCAACTATAGTTGGGACTTATGCTATAGTTGGGGCGTAACATAAGTACATGTACTAAGTCTACTGCCCGTGACCATGATATAGTCGCCAGGTCCCTTATTGCGCCACTTACCTGCTTACTTACTGTGAAATCCAATAAAACTTGACAATCAAAGGTGGCAAAATTAGGGACCTAGCAACAATACGGTTACAGATATGTTACTACTAAGCGTCATTTGTTAAGGAAAAACCTCTGTGCCAAGTAGCCGTCCTCTTTTAGGGGAAGTAAGAAATAAACCAGTACCTCATCATTTCCACCTGCTTACTTTTTCCTGACGGCCTCTATGTGTTTCTCCATTAAACCCTAGCCCCCCCCCCCCTTGCTGGCTCTACCCCCCCAAGGGTTGCTGGCCCTAACCTTCCTCATTCACAAAAAGTTAAACATGGGACTTTGTGCACAGAGGCTGTTGGACTTTGTTTTCCTGAGGTATGCCAAACCCAATGCAAAAGCCAGCTGTTATGGGCCTACCAGACCTATCCCCACAGAATTAAACACTTTACCACTGTTTAATTCTGTGTGGTTGGGAAAGGTTAGGGTTAACACGTTTCAAGTTTGTAACTGTGATTGTCGCTTTGTACATGCACATGGAAGTTTTTTTTCTTGTTTCTAGAGAAAGATCATGACCCAGTTTCATGGTGTTGCTTAGTGCAGAATTTTGCACTAACGATCTTCATTCTGTGCTACTGGCATTAGCAGAAAAATGCTGCACAAACCGTTGAAGCACAGGATCCCTAGGTACGGGATGTATGCATGCGCACAAGCCAAAATTCCTTGCTAACCGGCGAAATACATGTAGTTTCGTTGTAAGCACAGAAGTTTCTACTATAGTAAGCGCCAATTTTTGGCTTGCAGTAAACAGTGCCTTGAAATTGGGCCCATTTGGGCTCTACCTGTTGTATGGGCATGGCAAACAAAGTCTCTGTGAGGAGATGATACATGTATTCATTTGTTGGACCTTCATAATTTCGTATGAACAAACAACACAAGTTTATCCGACGTTTTAAACGTGTTCCTGCCAGATGTTAATGGAACTGAAACCTTTTCATTCCTAAAATTTTACCCCATCCTCCTATTTTAACCTGGTTTTCCTACATGTAGATTCATTCATGTATCAAATTCCCTCTCCTTGCTAAAATTCCCCTAGACATGCACCCCTTTGAAATTTGTTCATGTTTATGACACTCTCAAAAATTTAATTTTGGCATTCCAATTCAGACTGATACAATGAACATTGAATATATTTCAGACTGCAAAATACCGTACAATGTACTTCAAACAAAGCACCTGATATCATGCGTAATTGAACATGTTTAGAGCATAGTGGTTGACAAACAGCTGCCAGAATTTCATTTAGGTTTGAATGATCTGTCTTTCCCTCCCAGCAAAGGTTAAACCCTACGGTACCTGTCCACGCACAACAAACACTTACATGTGCGTGTAACCATTATGTAAATTTTATGAAAAATTGGCTTTTGCAAATTTTGTACATGTGTACAAACAAAAAGTGGCTGTCTATAATTATTTTGGCTTGTCCTTATGACAAGTGGACAGACGGTCGGATGAGACACAGCCGTGCTGATCGGGCTGACGTTGCGAGCAGATTTCCTGCACCGCATACATGTACATGTACCGGTACATACTTACCCATTCTTGACAAACACACAATTATTGGATTTTTGGCATGAAGCAAATGTGATTTTAATCATAAAAGAAAGGGGGGGGCTGGGGGATGAATCCCTCAACAAATTTGTTTCTGATATCGTGTGGCCATGAATTTCAAATGAGCAGACACAACAACACCATACATTGGGATGAACTGAATTTCACATTTGTATAGATCATGAGTATCCCTACTTCATGCAAAGTTTTTAAAAAAAATTTGGTTGTTTTGGTTGAATCCATCTTCCCCTCTCTCCC